GGGGGGGGGGGGGAGGGGGGAGGGGGGAGGGTAGTGGTAGAGCTAGATGCGCAAGGCGTTATATACCGCACGCGCGCAAAGCGCAAGCGTGGGCGCGTTTCGCTTCGCCTTGTGTTTCGTCCGCGCGCGCAATTCCACTGTAGCGCATATTTGCATTACCATCGCATCGCGCGCTCCCTCAGATCGCGCCCTGCCTCTCCCGCCGCCATGCCGCGCGCTTCGAACCTCTTCCACGCGCTGCGCGCGCACGCGCCGTCGCGGATCGCCCTGACGGACGCGTCCGGCGCGCACACGTACGGCGCGCTGCTGCGGCGCGCGGCGCGTCTGCGCGGCGCGCTGCAGCTGCCTGCGCCGGGCGCGGCGGGCGCGGCGGGCGCCGCGCCGCCGCGCGTCGCCGTGCTCACGCGCCCGCACGCAGGCTTCGTCGCCGCGCTGCTCGCGGCGTGGGCCGCCCCGGCCGCCGCCGTCCCGCTCTCGCCGCTGTACCCGGCCGCCGCGCTCGCGCCGCTGCTGGAGGACGCCGCCCCGGCCGCCGTCGTCGCGGAGGACGCCACGGCCCCGCTGCTGCCGCCGCACGTGCGGCGCCGCGCGCTGCTGCTGGAGGACGTGCGCGGGGGCGAGGGGAGCGCGGACCGGGACGGCGAGTATGCGGCTACGTGCGACGCGCTGGCGGCGCGGTGCGCGCAAGCGCAGAGAGATGCGGCGATGCTGCTGTTCACGTCCGGGACGACGGGCCGCGCGAAGGGCGTCGTGTGGCGGCATGCCATGCTGGCCTACCAGACGCGCACGCTGTGCGAGGCGTGGCGATGGTCGAAGGACGACCGCGTAGTGAATGTCCTGCCGCTGCACCACGTCCACGGGCTGGTTAACGTCGTGCTGACCGCACTGTACGCGGGCGCGCACGTGGAGATGCACGCACGCTTCGAAGCGGCGCGCGTGTGGGAGGCGGTGACGCGAAGGGACGAGCGAGGCGCCACTGTACTCATGGCAGTGCCGGCCGTGTACGCCCGCCTGATCGAGGCGTACGAAGCCGCGGGAGAAAGCCGGCAGGCCGAGATGAGGGCCGGCGCGCGAGAGGTGCGCCTGTTCGTGTGCGGCAGTGCTGGCCTGGCCAGACGCAACTTTGAAAAGTGGGAAAGCATCAGCGGACAGCGCATTCTCGAGCGCTACGGAATGACAGAGACGGGCATGACGCTGTCGAACGCGTACGACGACCGGCGGCAGGGGTCGTTGGGGAGGCCGTTGCCGGGCGTGGAGATGCGCGTGCGGGGGGGAGGCGAGGAGGGCGAGCTGCTGGTGAGGGGGGAAGGCGTCTTCAGGGAGTACTGGCAGCGGGAGGACGCGACACGCGAGGCTTTTGATGAGGAGGGCTGGTTTGCGACGGGCGACGTCGTCAGGGTCGAGCCACGGGGCGTCAAGATGCTGGGGAGGGCCAGCGCAGACATTGTTAACACGGGCGGGTACAACGTGTCGGCCGTGGAGGTGGAGGAGGTCGTGAGGGAGGCGGAGGGCGTGGTGGACTGCGCCGTGATCGCGTTGCCGGATCGCGTACTGGGGGAGAAGGTTGTAGCGGCCGTGGTGGCCGGCGCGGTGGGAGTGGAAGGCAAGGTCGCCGAGGTGGCGAAGCGGCTGCTGCCCGCTTACAAAAGGCCGAGACGCGTCATCGTCGTCGACGAGCTGCCCAGGAATGTGCTGGGCAAGGTGCGGAAAGACCAGCTGAAAGTCGTTCTCGCGCACATGGAGGACGGCGAGCGAGCGGAGGGAGAGGAGAGATGACGTCTACACGAGAGGAAGCTTTGATCTACGCATTGTGTTGCCGGCAAAGCGCTGCACGCTCACAGCTGAGAATTGGCACGACCTCGCGACGGCCAGCACGCCGCCTCCCCACTGCTTGCATCTGCGTCTGCACGGGCCTGGATGACCAGCGCTGCCCCACCACGCGTGTCGGGCCTCAAAAGCGCGGTTTGTCTCCATGGTGTTCAACCGAGGGGCCGCCCAAACAACGAGTCGTAAACCCCCCCCCCCCCCCCCCCCCCCCAGCAGCTCTGAACTTCTCGCGCTCTTTCCACACGGCCTCCAGCATGGTCGATGGTAGATGTGAACCAAGAGATCCGGATGCCGGGGTCCCCCTGACCGCGGGGGGCCGCCGGCGCCGGTATATTTACTGACTCTATGTCCTATCGTACGTCTATAAATAAGGCTGTGCCTTATTTGCATGTTTGTGTGGAATCGCTGTGTTTTGTTGTAGCGGGGAGGGGGAGCAATGCGCGCGTCTTTCCCTCTTTTTGTGTGGAATCACAGTCCCCCTGGCGCGCGTATTGCCTAGTTTCGGGGTGGAAAGTGACTGCCTCGGTGGGTGGGGGGGTGACGTTGAGTCGCGTGCGGTGTTTTGTGAATGTGTCTCTCTTGAGCGGTTTGGTCATCAGGTCCGCTGGCATGTCGTGTGTTGGTACTCGGTGAATTGAGATGGCACCATTTTTTGTTGTCTTGGAGGTAGTGGTATTTGATGTCTATGCACTTCCTTCTCTTTGTGGGCGCTTGTTGGTTTGCCATGCGGGCGGCGGCGGCGTTGTCAATGTGCATGGCCGCCGTTGGCGTGGGGATGCCTATTTCCGACATCATGTTGCGGATCCATATGGTGTGGGTTGCCGCCTCGGCGGCCGCCATGTACTCGGCTTCACATGTACTTTTAGCTACAATGGGCTGTTGTTTGGCCTGCCAGTGTATGGTCGCATTGTGGAGGGTAACGGCCATGCCGGAGAACGATTTTCGCGTGGTCGTGTCGTTGGCAAAGTCGGCGTCTGTGAAGCTCGTGATGGTGGGCTGTTGTTTCCGTGATTTGGGGAAAAGTATGCCGTGGCTGCGTGTGCTGTGTAAATATTGCGCTAGCCTTTTTAGCAGTCTCCAGTGTCTCTTGGTGGGGCATTGTAGTGCCCGCGCCAGTGCCGCTGTCGCGAATGCAATGTCTGGTCTGGTACTGTCCGCTATGTACCGTATCTCTCCTAGCGCTGTGCGGTATGTGTCTTGTATGGCTGGGTACTGTTCATCTGTGTCTTTCGGTGGATCTACACTGATGCCGTGGAGGTATGGTGTGTCAACCGGGTTGCTTTCGTTCATGCGCAAGTATGCGGTGACGTGCTGTATGTGCTGTGGTTGCGAGACATGGATCCCGTGCTGTGTGTATGTTATGTGCCAGTTGAGGTATGCTTTGGGTTTGCCCAGCCTCTTGATTTGATATTTCTGGCGCAATGTGTTGTACAGCTCGTCATTGAGTTTGGGGGTCGTGGCGGCTGCTAGGAAGTCATCCATGCTGACTGCTATGATGATCAGGTTGTTGTGTGCCTGTTTGGTGAACAGTGATGGATCTGATTTGAGTTGACGGTATCCGTTGTTTCGGAGGTGTTCGTGGAGTCGTGTGCTGTAGGTATACGCCGCTGGTGGGGTGCCGTATATGTTTCCTTTGAGTTGACCGTTTGTGGTTTTGTGTGTGAACGTTCCGTCAAATTTTGGGGGTTGCCATACGTACACCGGCTTTTCGTGTTCATATTGTTCATGCAAGTATGCTCCTTTTATATCGAGATGTTCAAGGTGCATGTCGTTCGCTGCCGCCATGGCGAGTATTGCTCTGACTGTCGTTTTGTCTGCCATGAACGTCGCTGTCTTGTCCGGGTCATAGTGCGTGTGGGGTGTCATGAGGTCTCCGCGCACTGAGCATCGAGCTTTTCTTGTTATTGTTTTCGTGTCAGGCTCGATCTTGTACCTGTACGTCATGGTCATCGGTATGATGTCACGTTTCGGTATGTTGGTTGCTGTTTTGTGCCATGCGATTGCCTTCATGTCGTCCAGCTGCTGTAATTCGTGGTTGTGCGCCGTTTCCCATTCTTTTGCGTCAGGATATTTGCGTGCTTGTGCAAGTGATCTGGGCGCTGGGGTTGTGGTTGTGACTGCCGTTGGTGTGGTGGTCTTGCGGCGTTTCGCCGTGAATGCGGCAGGTGTGGTGGTGCATGGGTCTGTGTTGCGGAAGTACGGTTTAAAGTCGTTGCTGCGCACTTTTTGTTGTCGGCTGGTGTGCATGTTGTAGACTTGTATGTGTGTGTCGTCGATACCGTGAAGGTATCGTGCTGGGTGTGCTCGGAGCTGAAGTTTGGTTTTGTGCGGTTTCAGTATAGGTATATATCCAAGTTGGCCAAATATGAATATGTGCTTCACTCGCGGCGGGGTGCCATGCCATAGGGTGTGCGGTAGGTTCTTGACGGTGTGGTGGTATGTTATGTTGTATTTGTATACTGCGTCGGTGACTGCTTCTTGCCAGTAGGCTTGCTGCATGTGGCTGTGCGCCAACGCAGCTCGTGCACTGTTCATGATGGTCCTATTGATGCGTTCTTCCAAGGAGTTTTCTTGCGGTGTATAGGCTGTGGTCGGTCGAAAGGTGATCCCTCTGTTGGTGAGGTACTGCTGTACGTATGTGGCTGTGTATTCCTTCGCGTTGTCCGTGGTGAGTAGTTTGGGATAGTATCCTAGCTGGTTGGATACGTATTGGATGGCGTTGGTGATGCTGTGCGGTACTTGTGACCTGTTGTTGAGGAAGACTACCCAGGCGTATCTCGTAGCTGTGTCTACAAGTGTCATGAAGTAGTAGTTATTTTGTCTGGATGTGGGCTTAATGGGGCCGCAGACATCCGACGATAGTTGTGTGCCTACTTCCTGTGTGTGGGTGGTGCGGGGGTGCGTGGTTTGCGTTGTTTTGCCATCGATACATCCTGTGCAGGTTAGCTTGTGTGGCGTCGTGTGCAGGGATGCGGGGAGGGGTGGCAACAGTTTGTGTTTCGCCATTATACTGATGGTTTTTGGGTGAATGTGGCCAAGTCGCAGATGCCAGTCCTGCATTGTGTCCTTGACGGTGCTTCTTTTTGGTTGGTGATGGGGGGATTGCGCGGTGTTGCGCAGTTGCGGTGTGGCGCGCGTGTGGGGGGCTAGGTGGGGTGTGACCGGTGCGGTGGTGCTTTTCTTGTTTTGTTTGTGTTGTGTATGGGTGCTGGTGTGTTTCGGTGCTTTACGTGTTTTATGTGATTTGCCTACAGTGCGTGCTGCTTGTGCTTGAGCTCGCTCAGGTTTGTCCATCACGTACTGTCCTTTGCGGTATGTGGCCGTGAGGACTGGTTTCCTTATGCGTTGGGGTGCGTGCACTATTGCGCGGTGGGGTGTGAATGTGACATGCCCGTAGCGGGTGAGGTCGTGTACACTTAGGAGGTTTTGCTGTATGTTGGGGGAGTGTACCGCCGGGAGAGTGATGGTCTTATTGCTCTGTTTGATTTTGATGGGTGCCGTGTGTGTTATGGGGTGATGTTTGCCGTTGGCAGTTTTTGTTAGTGTACCGGTTGTTTTGCGCATCGTACCATGGGGTTTGGATACGTGCGTAGGATTGGCACCGGAGTCGAGAATGTATGGAAGCTTACCGGTGGTATCGTCGTCGGGGTGCTGGGTAATTGCTTCTTCGAGTTGCGCTATCCTCATTTGCAGTTCATCGATGGCTTGGTCGTGTGCTTCTGTTTGTTGGGGGCTTGGAGATCGCGGTGGGGTGTTGTTTTGGATTGTGTTTGCGTGATACGGGGCTTTTCTTTGCCATTTGTGTGCATAGCATTCTGTGGTGTTGTGCGTTACACTACCATGGTGGGTGCACCATGCTCCGCTCCATCCTGGAGGTTTGGGGTACGTTTTGTTGTCCGGGCGGGCTGATCGGTTGATTTTGCGTGGGGTGTATGTGTTGCGGGGAGTGGCAGTGCGTTGTTGTTCTGCTTTGGTTGTTCGTGGCGTTTGTGTTGCGGGAGCCATTCTTTGTTGCATGATCAGAACCTGCTGGATGTGGTTGTGGAATGCCCTTATGGTGGTTGGGGGGTGGCCGGTCAGTAGGAGGGCGAGAGTGCTGAGGTCTGGGTGCTGTGTAAGTCCCTGAATCATGTAGTTGATTGTGGTTCTCTCGTGATTGATGTTGGGGTAGTTTGCGATTATCATTTTGTGCCGGATGCTCTGGTGTTTGGCTAGATACTCACTGAATTCCTGTCCGGGGAGGAATTTGAGGCTGCGGGCCTCGGCGTCCAGTACTTCATGATTCTCGATGTTAGTTTCGTGGACGTGCGTATTGATCATTTCGCATATGGCGTGTGGTTCTTCCCTGAGGATGGTGGGGGGTAGCTGCGGTATGAGATCGTTGTGTATGCTTTGCATGATGATCGTCCTGAGCGCATCGGCTTTGTCCTGATTCTGTTTGCTGATCGCAGGGTCTTGGGTGGGTGTGGGTGCTGCTTCTAGGAGCGGTTCTGCCTCTATGGTACGCGCGTATATGTGTAGGGCGTCGTGCCAGAATGTGTAGTTCGATTTTGTCAGTGCGGGTAGCGTGGATTGTTGTGTTGATGAGGTCATAGTGGTGTGTTTCTGCGGTTGTGTGTTGTGATTTTCTGCCTCTGCTATCCGTGCTGATGCGTAGAGTTCGTGCGTGAGTTGCTCTTGCTCTCGGGCGCGGTTGCGTCGGGTCGCCCTTTGATCGCGGTCTCTCGGTTTTGCCGTGGTGGCTGGTCGTGGTCGGTCTGGTGGTGAAGTTCAGTGGTCGTAGGTGCCCATAACCTGTGAACCAAGAGATCCGGATGCCGGGGTCCCCCTGACCGCGGGGGGCCGCCGGCGCCGGTATATTTACTGACTCTATGTCCTATCGTACGTCTATAAATAAGGCTGTGCCTTATTTGCATGTTTGTGTGGAATCACAGTAGAGATGATAATAA